CATACCCTAGTTTCTACTTTATAGTGGGATTTGTCATGCACTTTCTTTTACATTGATGAATTGATACACATAAATTTCATTGATTATAGATGACTTGCAATTAAAAATTTTATGCTTTTTCTAGGTTTCTTAACATTACATATATTTTTGCCTAGATATACATGTTAGGCTCTAAGGACTCTATGTTCTTTATACCTTAAAACACCATTACTTTATTTTCCGTTGAGCATACCATGCATATTAAATTTCTTTTACATATACAAATAAAGCACACAAGCCTAGGATAAGGAAGGGGCATCCTAAATGATGGGGTTGGTTGACTATTCCTTATAATTTAGGGTTATTCTGTTGTTGGATTTTTCTTAGAAAATTGATCATATAAATTTGCATAAATTATATATAAAAGTTTTATAGTTAGGATAAAATTTGTTTCAAATTGCATTAGATAGATGTATTTGAACCCTTCACATCTTTAAATTGCTTATTAATTTTTAAACTTAAAATCTTGATTCCTAAAGTAAAGAGTCTATCTACTTCGCTTACATTAGACTTAAAATTATGGTTTTATAAAAGTTACTAGGTAATTAGGTTAGTTGTCCACTCTAGGAATACCTACGTCTAATTTACACTTATGCATAATTCCTAAATTTCCTTATGGAAGGATTATCTTGAACATCTAATAAATTGACAACTTAAACCCTCAAATTTCAATCATGATCTAAACTGATATATCCCAATCATAATATATGTTAGAGTGTTTTTGGTTATTTAGAATCTAAAGCACTCCCTACCTTTCATTCTTTCACTCTATAAAGAAGTGTCCAAACTTTGAACCTTGCCCAGTTGGTAAGTCTATTTCAAATATCCTTCATCAATACCTTTTATAAATCTAAAAAATGTTTAGTCGCCACTTTAATCAAATGTTTTTTTAATACTCATCTTAATATGTAGTAAACCTTAGAGGGGTGCCTTTATGGGAGACCTAAAACTTTGTAAAAAAAAAAACCCTACCTTAGCATCCAAAAGTAGGGGAAAAATCTCAAGACGCACATAAAAGTTTTATCCATTATTCATTTCATTTTCAAAATGATAGTTGAATATAATTTTATCATTCAATATGAAAAGTGTATTCTCAATGCTGAGTTTAATTATGAAAATAAATTATGTTCTATCTTCCAAATGAGAATGGAACATCAATCTGTCTTTTGAGATGGTATGTTGTTATCTATGCAAATTTGATTATAAAAATAAAAATTGAAATTATATAGTGGCATATTATATTTTTCCACGGGCATATTAAGAATTGATAACTTGTCTCGAAGAAGAGTAAATTATCATGCAAGTAGAGCTTTGTTAAAGTTTTAAGAAATTTGATCTTGAGATAATATGTGGTAAACATCAATGATGTTAGATAATACACTCATACATAAAATGATGATATTTTTCATGTGTTGATGCATGCACAAAAAATTGAATTGTTTGTGACATATATTGATAAATATCATTACAAAATAGAGGAGTTACTTCCCAGGAAATAAAAAATTCAAGGTAAAGATATTAACATCAGATTATACAATGAGCTGCCAAAACAAGACCCCATATTTGAATTTGATAGAGGAATGTGAAACTATAGACTATTTTTGAACACACCATGAGATAAATTTTACTCTAGAAAATCATAATATCTAAAATATTTTAAGTAAAAGAAGTTAAATTCTTAAACAACAAGGTGCCTTCTGGTGTAATGGTTAAAATTTTATTAAGAAACTCCATAATTAAGCATGCTCATACTATAAAAAAAAAATCCTTTGGTAACCTCCTCGAAAGTTACACCAACTGGATAAAACCATGAAGCTTGTAGGCTAAAGCAAACAATATCTTGAAAGTTAAGAGTTTGGGTTATTATAAATAATATCAAAGCAATACATCAGCTGAAAGATGAGAATTAAGTGTCATAGAAGATAAAGTGTTATGCTATGGGTGTCACTTCTTGAACCCTATAGGGCCCGCCTCTAGAATCTTATCTTCTCAGTAAATGATTCTTAGATAAATATGTTGACGAGGATGTCAGTTACTTAAGTGGGGGAGATTGTGAAACACTTTAAGTAAAAGAAGTTAAACTCTTAAATATCAATGTGCCTTTTGGTGTAATGGTTTGAATTTCATTAAGAAACTTCATAGTTAAGTGTGCTTATCTCTAAAAAATACTAGGATAAGTGACCTCCTGGGAAGTTACACCGACAGGACAAAATCGTGAGGCCTTTAGGCCAAAATAGACAATATCTCAATAATTAAGAGTTTGAGATATTACACAGTAACCTATTATATAATTTTTATCCAAAGATTCATGCACTCATTTTGAGTGAGAATATGTTTGAAGATTCATGTTCCCTTTTTGAATTTTCATGTTTGAAATTGAATAGTCACAAGCTATTTAATTAATTTTATTGATTTCTTCACTACATAAGAGGGAGTATAGATCATCCAAATTGATTGGAGTTACCTTAGTATGAATCAAAGGTTTAAACGATTGATAGGTTGGAGGAAGGCCACTAAGAATGCACAAATAATATCCTTTGAATCGATTTAACAATTGTCGATGGTAATATTGTCTCCATATGTTTTTGACTTTGGACAAATTTTGAGTAATCAATTCATTTTCATGAATAAGTTGTTTAATCCACTCTTGATTTGAATAACTTAGGACTTAGGATCAATTAGTTGATTGAAGCCACTTTTCAAGAGTATTCCAAATGTCGGCACTAGCATCCATATTCAAGCCTTATGATAATATAGAGATGGTTATAGTAGAGAACAAAACAACAAACAAATTCTGATTGATCAACAACTAAATTTTAGTGAGTGGACATGTAGAAGTCCATCAAAACCATTAGTTTTGAATAATTTCAAGACTTAAGCCCATTTAAGGGGGATAATACAATCAATTTTCTATGAGAAATATTCTTGATATTAAGGACACGAAATTTAAGCTTAATATAGAGATGTCTTGACTATTATCTCATGAATATATGTTTGATGTTGAAGAGTTAAATAATACAGTAGGGAAGATTTATGACTTGTGGCAGGGATCTATAGAAATACATAATGCGAAAACTAAAGAGGAGAGAGCAACAAAAATTAGTGATTGTTATCACAAGATAAAAGTTTTGATACCATGTTGAATAACTCCGCAACTATATTTCATCCATAATGAATATGAAAATACTCCAATTGTTTGTATTAAATATTTATTTGTACTACTATTATGACCAATATATCCAGAGTTCGTTACATATGGCAGAAGTTGCTTTTAATTATTGGCTGCGATGAAGTGAATAGTTGAAGTTGGATGATGATTATGCAATGGCAAAGATAATGGTTGATGAAGGCGAGTTGTGCATAATAGTTGCAGTATCATTGTTATCATACTCTTCTCTAATGCAATTTGCCATGAGGCCGAGGTTATATTAAATAATGCCTTTATAATTGTAATTATAATGATTACTAAGAAAATTTGTAGGATAGGTGCCATATTTGTCAAACCATTTGTGAAATCAATTTAAAAATGGCAAATCAATTCAAATTTATTTGGACATTTAAAAATCTTTATTTTCTTATATGGAATCCAAGGGTGCCAATATTAGTTCATTTAAATTTCCATTAATGAACTTGCATTTTAATTAGGTCCCAATGAAGCAAAATGAAAACCAAAATTTTAAGTTCATTCTAATTGATTCTAATAATTATGTGAAAATAATAAAATTTTATATGTTTCATATTTTATAATATAGTTCTCTTTAGTTTTTGTCACATATGATCATTATTATTATATCATTTAATAATATATAAATAATTTTTATATTTATTTTATTATATTGTTCATTTCAACCATTGTTCAATTCTTATTGAACGTTTGTAATCCGATATGAATTTCAGAACCTTGATTTTCATAAACTACTTCAAAAAGATTGTCGAATAATAAGAATGTGAAACACATTTAATTTGCTATAGAGATAAGAAATTGCTCACAAATTTTCTACGTTCCGTTATCGATCATTCTCCTTGATATGATGGCTGTGTTTCTTTCTGCTTTTAACTTTTTTCTAATAGGAATGTGAATCACATTTGCTATAGAAAAATAATACATAGCTTTCCCTAAATATATAATTAGAATGATGAAACAAATCATTAATTAGTTACATAGTTTTAATTAACGAGGCAAATCAATTGTTCCTTCTCAGCAAGTACAACGACTTAACGTGTATAAGCAATTATCTTTGCTTCGCAAGAAAGATGGATTTATTTGCAATTGTTGAATAGGTATTTAATTAATGGTTTGAGACATGCGTATGCATCATATGGTATATATATGTAGCTGTATCTGATGTGATCTTAAAACAGTTTTCTTTCAGTGAAATAATTTTTTAAATATATTTAAAAGAGCTTAGGTTTGTCTCTTATTATACTGTATTTTATAAAAATTATTTGCAAGCAAGCCAATTGTCAAGCTTTGCTGCAAGTCATGACAAGCTTTTTTTAAGGCAAAAAAATTGGGTCAATATATTTTAATTTAATTCTTGTTAGAATATGCTAACAAAATTGATTTGCATAATTATTTGTTTTTTTTTCATAAATTTCATGCTGTAATATATAATATTACTGCATGTTATAATTAGGAAATTTTGTTTCATAACGAGTTGTGCGTGAGCATGTTTATAGCTTAGGTGAGTAGCATTGGAGCTTGGAAGAGCATATTCCTAGGCAAATCTATCATATTCAAGCTAGGGAGAGATTACTATGTGCAGAATCTAGATGTGTCTGGAGATCAATTCAGACTCATCACATCATCCCATATATTGTGTATTGGGTGACGTAGTGCATCCATATTAATCTTCGGATGTGTCTTAAACTAGGCGAATTCGAATCTGCTACTATCCTCTTCGTTAAATTCAATGTCCTTGTTCTTCCATTTCGGCCGAGTTGCCTTCAATTGAATTGAGCATATTTTATTTAAATTTAATTCTTGAGATGTTTGTTTGAGCGTATTGATGCCCCAAATTTCAGATAAATTATTTGATCTCCTCTCACTTGCTGACTTCCACTCCTTCCATCTATAAATAAGCGAGGTTCCTTCCTCTGGTTCTGAAGCTCCCCTGCCAACATGTACCTCAAGCCGGTGCTCATCCTGCTTCACCTTCTCCACCAAATCTTCTATCTCCTCTCACTTATCCTCCATCGAATTGGACTAAACCCAATCTTCCAAACCGCGCTACCTGATAACGAAGAGGTAATATTCTCCGCCGAGCCTTCGCCTGCCGTCAAAGCCGCGGCCGCGTCGATCAAAAGCCAGTTACCAGTGGTCGATTACATCTGTTTCTTCAAGAGTAAACACACCGGCGTAGGACGAGAACAGCCACCGGTGTGCGCCGTGTGCCTTCAGTTCATGGAAGCGAGAGACCAAGTACGGGAACTCGGCAACTGCTGCCACACGTTCCACGTGTCCTGCCTCGACCGATGGCTGGACCTCGGCCGGTTTAGCTGCCCTTTATGCCGTTCCACGCTTCTTCCGCCTCCGGCAGGCAGCCAGAGAGGACTACTCCTTCTCAAGCTCCTCATCACCGGCGAAGCTTCTTCATTACTTAGAAGCTGCTAATTTGTTTTTAGTTAATTATGGAGGATTTCAATTAATCCCTCTTTAAAACCATTAGTTGTAACGAATCAGTACTTAATAATTTACAAATGAGAGTGATTATTTTGGGACAGACGCTGATGTTTTTGGGTGATTAAGATGTTAAATATTTAAAAATCATTAATTTTAAAAAAAAAATTAAAATTTATCATTTAGCTACTTTCAATATCAGTCATTCAATTCAATTCAAACATCTAAGCTTATGTTCGTATTAATTTTATTTTTAAGTTATTTAATGAATGGGCTAACTTAATTTATCTCTTAAAAATTAGTTAAATGAAGTTGAAAATTTCTAGCTAAATTGCTCTCACAAGAACAGTCTCTGAGATGCGTGCAAGTCCGATATGACAGCTGGCATTATTATTTATGACGCATTTGATGAACGATCTTCGCTGTCCAATATCTACCATTAATGTAGATTTTTTTTTTTTTGTATTTACCAAAGCCTTAATTAATGATTATTTTAATAGATATTGACGTGTCCATCCACCATAAATATTATATCTTTTCTGTCGTCAGATTGTATAAATTATTCAAAATTTTTTGTTTTCTATATTGGCTTTGGCCTGCACTAAGGTAATTGTTTTTTAATTACATTTTAGCTTAGCTTCACCGTTAAATTAATTACGAAACTTCCGAAGACTTCCATTGAGGAGTAATTATAGTGTTCGGACACCGAACGCGTCCAAAGAACAATATCACAGCGCCACTTCACTTGGGTGTCGGATTCCCGGTTTTTTGTCTGTACATAATAACTTCTCTCCATTGAGGCCTTTAAGGATCATTTTGCGGACTTCAATATTTATGGCGATAAAGAGAAAAAAAGTTTAATATCTTGGTTTTGAATGAAGATTCCAGCACATGCACTTATAGATAAAAGAGAGATGTGTAAAAGTTATAAGAGAATAAGAATTTTACGTGAAAATCTCTACAAAAGGAAAAAAAAATTATGAGACATTGCCCAATTGAAATGATTCCACTAATGTTTGTAGTCGATTGCAATCTTGAGGGAAAATCCTTGGCTCATTATAACACATAGAGCACAATATATAGTTGGGGTTGTAAGAATCCAATGATAAAGGAGTCATTCTTAAGAGAAAGTTGACATGTTCATTTTGTTTGGCGGGCCACATTAGTCCGAGGGACTATAGTCGCCGGGCGATGGCAGTCAGAGGGATTGTAGTTGATGAGCAACAGAGATCGAAGGGATCACAGTTGGCTGGTGACAGTCCTTGGAGGGATCATAGTCGGACGGAGAGTAGTCAGCAGGCAATAGTGGCCAGATAGACCATACTCGATTATAAATAGAGGTCAGAGGGACTGTGGTCAGCAGGAAACAATGGTCAGAGGGACCATAGTCTGCGGCCATCGTAGGTCGGAGGGACCATAGTTGGTTGGCGATGGTGGTCGGGGGGACCATAGTCTACATGCAACAATGGTCCAACGGATAGTAGTCAGCGAGCGAATGTGGATGGATAAACCATAATTGATCGGTGATGGAGGTCGAAGGGACCGTATTCGACCAGCAACAGAGGTCGGAGGGACTGTAGTTCGTGTGAGATGGTGGTCAAGGGGACCATACTTGGCAGCCTAGCAGATGGCTAATAATGGTTGGCCGCGCAAGGAGGTCCAAAAGTGGTCGGTGGTTAGGTTGAAGCAGGCAGCAGTCGACAGCTGGGTGTATGTCTAGAGACGGTCGATGGTCGGGCAGTGGTCCGATGATGGTCAGTTGGAAGTTCGGTGGCTTTGGGGACTAGATAGAAGTCAAGCGGTAGTTAGTGACCATGCAGTGGTCCGATGATGCTCGAAGGAAGTTCGCCGATGGTGGTGCTAGAGCTCTTGTAGCTTTAGAGCTATCCTTAATCTATAGTCAAATGTCCCTTTTTATGTAGAGAGTATGAGTTTGTCTATAGATTTTCATGAGTGACATACCCCATAAATATAAAGAAGATATGAGGCATGTTTGGAGTGCTCCATTAGATGGCTTGTATTAATTCCCCTTATCATAGAGCATTTTTGCCTTAATGATATTAGAATTTAGTGATCATTGGCTCATTGGATTTGTCTCGTCGAGCCATTCAATCTGACTATAAACATGCCTTATTTGGATAACATTTGGTCATCCAATTTAGGCTTTGAATCTTTCAAATAAGCTTTGGGTTTGTTGAGCTCTGGATAACATATAGAAGCATACCAAATAAAAAATTTTAAAATATTTGTACTATGTCAAAGCAATACCGAAATTGTGCTTAAATCCTACAAAATATGCCTGCTACAGTTGCCCCATTTCCTGCAAACGACACCAAACTCGTGTCATATCTCACGCATGCGGAAAGATGGCCCCGATCGTTGGCCATCCTTGTCATTAAAAGCCAGGGAAGCGAGACCTTCAAGTTGTTCTCTCGCTCATTTCCCTCACGCGAAGACTCTCATACTCCCGCAAGCACCTCCAATCTTCTTCCTCCACTATCAAGCTCTTTACCTCTTCCCCTTCGCAAGTTTTAGCCAAACTCTACAAGCAAGCCGCAATTCGGCTAACTCCAACCAGCCTAACTCTATCCGATCCAACCCGGGAAGCCGACCCCTCTCTGCCTCTCATTCATCCAACTGACCGCAACCAAGACCAAATACCTGCTATTGACGAACTCCCACTCATCCTTTTCTACCTGATTCAATCAGCCCTAGCCAAACCCCTCTAGGGACTTCTTAACCGAGAGAGAGAGAGAGAGAGAGA